CATCGTTTCTTTCTGGAACTTCATTCAACTCTGCAAGCAATAGTTCACCTGCTCTTTTTGATTTTCTCGATTCTTGTTCAAGGGAGTCCAATCCAGTGCGTTGATCATGTAAATACTTGCCTATTTCCTTTAGCTTATCCGATGGATTTTCAAAAGTAAACTCAAAGCCAACGTCGATTTCATCCAAAACATCCAAAATACTGCTCCAGCTACCCTCCTTTTCCTGCAAATAGCGTTCTGTTTCTGCCAGGCGATCCCGGAGATAAGTATTTTCAGACTCCGTAACTTGTAGTCTTTCTTGGGTAGTTAACAAATTCTTCAACCGTTCTTCATACTCCATAGCGGTATGCTTGGTCTCAGATTTAAGCCTCTCGACCTCAGCATTTAGCTCCTCAATCACTTGCTTCATGCCATCTCGCTGTTGCACCAAAGACTTCCCTTTCCTAACAGCAACATTTAACTTCTCTCTCAAAGAAGCTGTTTTATGCTCCTCCTGAAGAAGTAGATCTTGCAATTCTTTCTTTTTTATTTCCAGTTCTTCGACTTCCCGGAGTAAAGATTGACTGTTCAGCATGTATCTGTCTCTCTCCTCCTTCAAGCACATTAGTTCACCCATAGAATCTTCCAACTTTTTGCTCAGAGTCACTACACCCTGCTCCTCAGAGTCCCTTGAAGTATTGGACAGCTCTTCTCTTTCAGTGACATGCACATCAGTAGGATCGATGTTAACAGGCTTCACTGAGAAAAGTGTCTTATACTTCTCTACGAGTTCCCTCAGCATCTCTTCAAAATGTTCAATACCTTCCTGACCAAGTACAACATCATCTGTACTAGAATCCTGAAGAGCATCGCTAACCAAATCCTGAAGCCTTCGAACTGCATTCTCAGTATGATGAATATCTTCTTCAATTCGAAGCTTCTGTTCTTGCAACATCCTTACTTCATCTTTAAGATTCTCATTTGCAGTAATGAAATCCTCCATATTTTTTAAGTTCTCGTCAGTATCACGACTCAGTATCTCCAAGTTCTTTGATAGGACGTCTTTCTCTACACAAGCTTGCTGGAAGGCTGTCTCAAACTCAGATGTTCTTCTTTGTGAATCTTCCACATCAGCAGTTAAAGATCCACAAAGCTTCTCCAAGTTATCAATCTTCTGCTGGAGAGAATAACAATGGTTCTGAGCCTCCGATAATGCACCTAACAACCATTGAATTTTATCTTCAGGCTCCATTGATCGCAGTTGAGAAGGCATATCTAGTCTATCCAGAATTTCTTCCCACCGCTGCACAAGATTGTTTCTTTCCGTTAATGACTGCTCAAGCATCTCATTTTGTTCGGCCAACCCATAAAATTTGCTTTGCAATTCCTCATATTTCCACCTTAAGTCATCACTAGGGTTTGGCTCCATCTCTTCTTTCACGCCATCAGCACCAACAAATCCAGCATCAGAATATGAACCTCCTCCAATTGAGCTTCTCCGGTCCCAGTCACCAAGCGGCAAGGAGTTACCGCCAACTGATTTCGCTAACCAATCTATCTTTTCGATTATATCTCTGGAATGGAAATGCTCCGGCAGCTCTAAATCTTCTAGAATCTCCTCTATTCTCTGAAGGACAGAATCTTTCAGAAGAAATGATTCTCTCAGTGCAGTAGCGGAGTTGCGAATGTACGAGAGCTCAGATTCTAGGGCTTCCATGCGCTCACCTGCCTCAGAGTAGACTTTTAGTTTTGTTTCAAGTTCATGAATCCTATCATCTTTAGAGAGTAATTCCTGCGTGTATCTCTCCAGTTCTTTTGACGTCTCAGCTAAGGATAGCTTGAGACTTTCGCGCTGCGAAATCAGACCTTTCCCTTTTGTAACAGCAATACTTAGCTTCTCTCTAAGAGATGACACTCGGTGCTCTGACTGTTCAAGTGCAACAACTTTCTCTTCTACTTCAGAATTAAGAGCAATAACAGCCTCCTCAGCAGTCTTCAAACTCTTCTTGGAAACAAGATTTTCATTTTCAGTTTGAACAAGAAGAATGTTCAAGTGTTCCACTTGTCCCCGCAAATCACTTAACTGCATTTCCAATGATCTGGATAAACTTAAGTCCTGATCAGCGTCTTTGTATTTCTGAACAAGAAAATGGATCAGAGACTCCAAGCGCGAAGCAGGTTCATTTGCATCCGTCTCTATCCCCTCCAGCCTCACTGATTGCTCAATCTCTTCAACCAACTTCATTATAGTATCTGATTTAAGACATTGCTTCTCCAGTTTATCAGTCTCTCTTGCTCTGTTCATCAAGTCTGAGCTGAGTTGTTTATTTTCAGACACGAGCTGAGATCTCTCACCAAAAAGTTTTTCTAATTGGTCTAAGACGGTGTTGAATATATCAGGCTGTAAAAGATCCAGGACTTCACCATCCACCACAACATTTCTTGTCTCATCTGGGTAGTACCCTAATGTTCTGCTCAAAAGTTCACTGAGTTCATTGTACAGTCTATGCAATGTATTTAAAGCAATAATATTTTTATCTGAAATTTCTTGACGGTCTCTCTGAGCAGCTTCAAGTTGTCCATGCAGATCTTTAATCACTTTGTCGGCACCACTAACAGAAGCAGCAACTCGGCCAACAATATCGAGGTTGCTAGCTTCACCAGCCGAAGAGCTGAGATTGAATGTCTTGACGGTAGAATCTAGCACACCAATTGTCTGAAGAACCTGATCAGACACGGACTTCCATTCTTCTTCAAGAATTGATTCCCTATCAGCCACTTCTGCCTGGAGAGTTTGCACTTGATTGGATATAGAAGCAAACATCTCAACTGAATCTTTACAAGTTCCATCCAACTGGCTCTGCAGCTCATTAATTTTGGCTTGAAAGTCATTCAGCTTCTCTCTAAGTTGACTACTCTCGGACTTCAGAACCACTTCTTGCTTCTGCAGGACATCACAAAAAATGAGCAGCTCTCTCCTCTTTTGCAACAGCATGACAGGCATGCTCTTTCATAGCCTCGTATAGAACCATAAGCTCTATATTTGCTTCTTCCACTTGTTCAGTGTGCTCTCTCAACGAATCATACTGGCTCCTGGCTGTCCCAGCAGCATCAGAAAGTAGTTTACTCTGCATTACTTTACAGAATTCACTGGCATTCTGAGCATCATCTACCAATGCTTTGAGGCGGACTCTCAGGTTTTCGGCCACCATTTTGGTCTTCGTGTATGGATCTTCAGCTGTTTGGTTTTCGGATGAAGGGGCTTGTTCTGGATCTTGGTCATCGGCATGACCTTTTGACTCAAAAGATTGAATCAATCTAGACACTCCAGGTGCAACTTTATTAGTTGGCTTAATCAAGGAAGTCGAGTAGCAATGCATACTGTCAATTTCCTTCTCAAGTTTCTGCAATACTATTACAGCATCCTCCAAGTTCCTTTGTAATGCTACAAATCCAGAGGCATCATCATAAACATCCAATTTCAGCTGTTGCAGAGATGACGAGTCAAAATTAGGCTTCTGTAATGTACCAATGTCCCTTTCAATTTCCTCGTGCTGAGATGAGTGCTCCTTTTGATGAAATTCTTTTATTTGAAGCTTGTGAAACTCTAAATCAGAAACGAGTTTTTCATTTTCTTCATTGAGTTGATTATTGCCAAATGTTGCTTCTTTAAGGTCATCCACGGCCTTACTGCATTCTGCTTGCAAACCAGCTACTAGACCTTTCATCTCCACCAACTCATGAGATTGCTTTTCGTACTCACTGAAAATGCTCATCTTCTCTTCTTCAAACTTGATTTTCTGCTCTGTTATGATCGCGAGACGACCATTTAAGTCGGAGATCTCTGTTTGAAGAGTGACAACCAAATCTTTGCAGTCCATAAACTCTTTTGACATTTGTTCAATCTGATGGACCGCTAATGTTTTTTCCTCTTCAATCTTCTTTCTCTCTTTTGATAAAGATGTCAAGACCTCATTTAAGTTTTTGTTTTCCACTTCAAGAGCTTCTACTGTACTCTTATACACTACCAAGTCCACAAGCAATACACTGTTCTCACGAAGCATAGAATCCTTTTCCTCCTCGAGTCGTACCCTGTCATCTCTGAGTAAAGTTTGCAGCGACTCTAAATAAGCTTCGGACTGAGCTAATTCTCCTACCAATTTCTCATTCTCGAGCAAAATAGTTCCATTCTCTTCTGAAAGTTTCTTTTTCTCTTCAGCCATCAGTTTATAACTCCCATTTAATTGTTCATTTTCAGCCTGCAAGGCCTCCACCAAATTCCTGCAGTCAACTAGCTCTGAAGATAGGCTTGACATCCCCCCTTGCGCCATTTCTAGCTTATTTTGCAATTCATTTACTTTAGCAGCAAAATCTTCAATCTCAGCTTTTGAGTAGTCAAGCTGCTTTTGGAGCTCTTCTCTATCTGAAGCAACCTCCTGAAGTTCATACCTACACTGCACAATTTCTTCAGCAGATAGTTCATTTTTCTGTTGCGCTTCAATGAGTGAAGTGTTGACTGCACACATTTCATCGATCAAGGTTTGATGTTCAGAAAGATGTAACTGAAATGCGTCCTTTGAAACACTTGTAACATATAAGTGCTCGTTGAGCCTTTCAAAAGCATCATGAACAGCAGATTCATTGACTTTCACCTCGCCCATATCCTTAAATTTCTCAAATGATGATTCTCTTGATATGGACAGGAACCTGATTTCATCTTCATCAAGTACTCGTAAAATTTCTGCAAGCTGGGAAAGCTTGATCACACTTCCATCTAATACCGATGACAAATCCACTGGTCTACTCGCTAAAGATTTTTCACTTTCATTAGTTTTAGACTCCGAAAATCTTTCTGCATCAACCAAACCAGAGCTTGCCTGACTGTCTTCGATATGGATTATACCATCACCACCTGATATATGAAGCACTTCTTTTTTCTCATCATCTGACGAACCAGACAATATAACTTCTCTCTGCTGAGCTACTTCGGCATCATTACCACCATCACCAGTTAATGAAGCATTGTCAGTTTTGCTGAGTTGTGTGGCAACATGGGTTTCCTCATCTGCCCGAGTATTCCCTGAATCAGCTATCTCATTGTCTCCAGCTTTCTCACTGAGATCCTTTGAAGAAAGATTACCATCCCCTTCAAGCTGCGTCACCATACCCTCATAGATTTGATTCCCACAAGAATTGCTAACTTCCTGCATTGCCCCTACCACAAAAGTTACACCCACTTTAAACTCAAGCTACCACAAAACAAATAAAAAAACATAGATACGTAAGTAAGTTGTAAATAAAGTGTCAAGAGTGAAGGCACAAACCTATATCAGTTACCTGCTCTTCCAGATGCTGCCTATCCAGTATGGATGAACCATCAATCGGCAAAGATATAACGGGATCTGCAGAATTCTCTTCAAGAATAATTGGATCTGAGGCACCTGGCACGTTATCTTTTCCATCCTCATGTACCAAATCTTTCTGTAGGGGCCCAATATCAACATCGTGTCCATCATAAGCACTTTGCTCCAACCTAGTATCATCCACTCCAGAACCCTCTATTGGAGATTCTGCAGCCCTCGAAAGGGATGCGATTTCAAGAACACCTGGCTTTGCTGAAAGTTCATCAGTGGCCGCAGCAGTATCACTTGCCAATGAATCCACTCTAGAACTTGATTCTGATAAAGGAATAGTAAGTGCTGAGCTTTCTCCATCTTCAGCATGCTGCTGTGTTACCGCTGCTTCAGTTGCAGCGGTAGCTGTTGTATCGAGGCCTGGTTTACCAGCTTTACCCGAAGATTTACTAGTATTCCCTTTATTATCCTTCTTCTGCCTAAACTGTTGAAGCTGACAAAAGATTAAAGAAGTTAAAATTGAAGTATAAGAAATCAAATTCCCATATGACAATAATAACTCAGCTTATTTCTACTTCGACGTAAATATCCATATTTAGTCGAGCAATTAAAATCCCTAGCACAGTTTATACAAATTAGAAGTTTATCATTCGAAATAGGGTCTCGACACAATCAGTCCAAATGCGACTCTACATATGAGATATTAAGTCGTCATTAATAAATGGAGGCAGTGCTCTTCAAATCGTCAATAACTATTATGTTTATCACTAACTGGTTTTCACTTTTATATAAGGAGAATGCACTTAAGATTTCTGTGGAACAAAATTCGCCTAGTTAGTTTCCGGAAATGTGAATCAGTGACAATGCTACGAACTACCAAACTTTTCAACAGAAAGTAAACAAGGCCACATTTATTCAATACTTGCCCATCCAGAACCTTCTCAAAACATGTCTGAGGTCCTTATAATTATAAATATGATTAAAAATTGAAAACACATCTTTCACAAATACCCGTTTGTACGAGCAAATAATTCTTACAGTTTCGAGCTACCGTCTAATATAAAAATTAACAGTAACAGCATGTATAACGAATCATATGTTGCAGAAACACAGTGAAAAAATTTGCAGCCACGATAAAAGGAAAAAAAACACAGTAACCCCAGCATAAACCAAACTACAATATAGTCTATAAGATACAGTTTAATTTGTGCAATAATCACATACGAGCTAGGTTTACATTTATCTACAAAACACTAATAAATCACAATAAAACTCAAAAAAAAATTGCTGCCGGAAAAAAAAAATTAGAGGAAGAAACAAGTTACCTTTTCCCGGCCGGCGGCGAGCAGATCGGTGCGGTTCTTATTTTTTCCCATCCAATCCAGTTCAATTCGCTCTCAATAATTATCTATAACCATTAGATTAAATAGATCGCCGCTCCAAAAATTCTACAAAGAGGAAAAAATTCAGGTCTCAGTGTAATCCAATTCAATATGCAACAGAATAAAAAAATAATAATAAATAAATGAAGAAATTGACAGAATTCATACCCGAAACGGTTCGATTGGTAAGGTGGAGTGGAGTAAGAATTACGAACGCAGTTCTCTTAGATCTGAAGCAATGCGTTTTTTATTTTATTTTTTATTTAATATGAAACGGGGGTTTGTAAATTGTATTAATGAAATTTGACAAATTGATCTGTGAATTTCAGAATCAAAATAACTCTATATTTAATTATTAATTGTCAAATATATATATAAGTTTAAGAAAATTATATAGTATTTTAGCGAAATAAATTTCCTTAGGAGAGGTGATTAATTTCCTGAATTAATAAGTAAATAAACTATAATGTCTGAGAATATGACTGGAAAAATAGTAATTTTATATGAAACATAAGGTAGTTTTTTTGAATAAATATTTTCAAACAATAGTGAAATATCTTGAGCAAAAAAAGACATAATTGAATTAGTTTTGTTATTATCATTCAAAAGAAATTATCGATATTATCATTCAAAAGAAATTAATTTTGAAAAGTTCCAAATTCATAACAAGTTAAAAAAAATTCTTTTTTATTTCTTTTTACATGAACAAGTGAAATTGTGACTTGAAGATGGCAATTTGTTTCAATCTTTCAATTTATTTATATATAGGAGTGTGCTATTTTCTTGAATGTCATTTTTCCTCTTTTTCAATATTTTGATATATTTTAAATAAATAACTAGATTGTCATCTCTAATGTTCTCGGATCACAGCTTCATAGGTAACATATTATGGATAATGAGACATTTACGTTATAATATTAATTAGTATGAATGAATGGAATAAGTTGAGGAATGGAATATAGTAGGAATGAAATATTAGGTCATTCCCATATTTGGTATGTACAAGTAATGAAGAAGGGGATGAAGTATTAATATTTTTTATTGATTCTAATTTCATATTTGATAATTTAAAATTAACTAGTAACTCACCCGTGCGATGCACGGGGATCAGTTCTAAGTACAATTGTTATAATAACAAAACACGTCGATGAGATAACTCAAACACCTTTATGAAAGAAAAGCGAATGATAATGCGATGCGTAAGGGTAATATAAAAAATGAAAATATGTTTAAGATAAAATACTCGAACGGAAACTTTGAATAGTTGATATATAATATGATATAATCTAATTTCTTTTAAACAATAGCAATTCCGTTTGATTTAAATACCGATACAAATAAAATAAATAATAAATGAAAATATAAAATACAAAATTATGATATAAAAGATAAGATATATTATCTGACTCAAATGGTACAACTATCTCTTCCAATACTCTCGGATCCTTAACATAAGCTTAATACTAATACTAATACTAATAGTAACACATCACCAATACCAATACCAATACCAATACTAATACTAATACTAATACTAATACTAATACTAATACTAATACTAATACTAATCTTATATATAAAAGAAAGAAACGCTAGGGCAACCCTAAGAAACCCTAATGTCATATTTGTAATTTTGTTTTCAATTTTTATCAAACTTTTATCTCCTTAATATTATTTTAAATATTATTTTCGAATTTTATCATATTTCTATCCCCTAAATATTATTTTAAATATTATTTTAAATATTATTTTTTAGTTTTATCAGATTTTTGTCTCCTAAATATTATTTTTTTATTTTTATCAAAAATTTTTTTATTTTTTTATATATAAAAGAAAGAAACGCTAGGGCAACCCTAAGAAACCCTAATGTCATATTTGTAAATTTTTTTCAATTTTTATCAAACTTTTATCTCCTTAATATTATTTTAAATATTATTTTCGAATTTTATCATATTTGTATCCCCTAAATATTATTTTAAATATTATTTTTTAGTTTTATCAGATTTTTGTCTCCTAAATATTAAATTTTTATTTTTATCAAATTTTTATCTCCTAAATATTATTATAAATAATATTTTTTAATTTTATCAAATTTATATCTCCTAAATATAATTTTAAATATAATTTTCAACTTTTAGCAGATTTTTATCTCCTACATATTATTTTCGAATTTTATCAAATTTATATCTCCTAAATAATATTATAAATATTTTTTCGAGTTTTATCATGTTTTTATTAGTTTTTAATCTCCTCAATATTATTTTAAATTTTTATCTGATTTTTGTCTCCTAAATACTATTTTCGATTTTTATCTCCTAAATATTATTTTAAATAATTATTTTTATTTTAATCATATTTTATCTCCTAAATATTATTCTAATTATTATTTTCGTATTTAATCAACTTTAATCTCATTAACATTATTTTAAAAATTATTTTCGATTTTTATCAAATTTTTATCTCCTAACTATCATTTTAAATTTTATTTTCGATTTTTATCAGATTTTTATCTCCAAAATATTATTTTTTGATTTTTTATCAATTTTTTATCTCCTAAATATTATTTTAAATATTATTATCGATTTTCATCAAATTTGTATCTCCTAGATATTATTTATAATAATCCAATTTTCGATTTTTACAGAAAAGGGTAAATAAATCTGATTTTCATACCTAGCGGATTTTGAGACATCGTTTTACAGAATGTCTGCAACATTTGAATTTTATTTCTTCCCTACCTAAGGCTTCTTTTTTTGGTAACCCGACTTAAGATTTTGTTTCTTATCTTCTTCTTCATCCTATTGACTGTGTCGTACTAGTTTACATCTTTTCCATCATGCTTATAGGTAATTTCATTTTGTTAATTATG